ATGTGCTGGTTGATCTGGTTCTCATGGTTGATTTTAGTGTCTTTTTTCACTTTGCCTACCCTAAGAAACCCATATTTGCTCAAGTCGCTTTGAATATACCAATAAGTGCATGTCATTGTGAGAAGCAAAACAGAGAACATGTCTTCACCCAAGATTTGGAAGTGGTAGGAAATGACCTCTTATGCTTCTTTTGCTTTTTAGATCTTTAAGCTCTAAGCCACCCTAAATCTACTGTCCCTATAAAAAGCTGCATTTTAAAAGGCTTTAGGAGGCTTGCTGACCTTGCAACCTACTTTGTAAGGAGTCTGCACCCACAGCTATTAAACAAAATTAATTTCAGCACTTTTAAATTGTTAATCTTGCAAAAGACAACTTGCTTGCTCTCCAGTGATCCCACAGGTCATCATTCTGTGAGCTGCAAGCCATCACCAGGGTTCATGGCTCTCAACATCGTGAGAATGCTTGTGGTCACCCAATTGCCTTGCAAAATTAATTCCTCTGCCCTCCACATTTCCTCCCCAGCATCTCTTTGAGATCTGGGATCTTTGTGAGCTCACTGTGTGTAGCAGCTATTCACCAGTAGCCACGCCACAGATTATTCCCATTTTTAAGTTATTCTATCCTAACTCAGTTGCTTCTCAACTCATGGGAATGAACTTGGGGCAGCAGGACATGAATTCAGGTAGGAAATGAAAGATTTTGTCTTCGGAGTATTAGGGTTCCTATTGAAAGGGTGATGTCTCTTAAGTTATATTTCTCCATATCCATGGGGCTGATGCTTTGCCAGGTATTAATTTATTTTGAATCTTCTTAAGTCTATTTTTTCTGCCTGGCCATGAAACTCAGAAACGTTGCCTTTTTTCCTCCAGGTGGGATACGTGTGAATGCACTGGGGGTGGGGGAGAAAGTGCACAGTGTATCTGCTATTATCATGCCTGGTTGTCCCTGCTCCTTCCACCTCTTTTGTCTCTGCCACTCAAGCCAATTTCAGCCATCCGCCGACTCTCATTTGGGATAATAGCCTCTCTTTTTACTGTTGTCTTGTCATGTTTGATTCGGCAGCACAAGGGTTTTAAATTAGCCAAAACGTTTGCATGCTGGGCTTACTCCGCTGCCACTACCAGTTGTAGAGCCACTAAACCACTTGATGCTGAAATTGATGATTGCTCGGAAGGAATAAGAAATTGTTGGTGGCTACCGGGAAGATTCATTCACGCCGAGCCCCTTTTAAGAAACCTGGGGGGGAGGGAGAGAGAGATTTCCTTTGGTTCCCTGCTGCCTGGCTGGTGGTTGCATTGTGCTTGTGCCAGGCTCCTGCTGAGTGATTACAGCCTTGCTAGGCTGCGTAGTTCCTGTGATTTCAACATAAAAACAGAAGAAGAAAAATATAGAGGGAAAGGAAAGGGGGAGGAAGGGGATGAAGCTCCAAAGACTTGTAGTTCAATTCAGTAACATAGAATTGTGATGTTTTAACTCACTGCCCACCTTTTTGTTGTTGTTCTTGTCTAATTTATTCCCCCTGGCTGAAAGTTTACTTGTAAGAAGTTTTGCTCTGTGGAAAAGCTACTGTATTGGCCTCCTTTGTTGGTTTTTAATAGCACTTTTTAATATTCTCTGGATTAAAAATGATCCATCAACAATGGGATCAGGGATCACCAAGAAATTATACAAACCGCCTAATAATACCCCCACATGCCCCCCCTAAATGCCTTTTACTTGTTTACATTAGTGTTTAAAGACATGAGGGGACAGAAGTTGTAAGGGAAAAGAAGATGACAGTGCTTGAGAAGCCATAAAAAGAGAAAATAAATGTCGGATTAAATGTGAACAACTAGGGTTGTATGATGGATATAATTATATTTCAGAACTACCTACAATCACATATGCAAAGTGAAAGAATATTTTATTTCTATTGAGTGGATTTCTGTTTGAAGAGGTAGTATTTTGTTATTCTAGTTTATTTTTCATATTTCCCCACTAACTCATGGATTACAGTGGTGACAGGTAGTCAAATGGTCAGAAAGGTCAGTAAGAGACCCATGGATAAATAGCTCAGGGTTTCCAAGTCCAAAGACAAACACTATCAGAAAATAGTAGCAATTATTAATTAAAACCAAAATAATCATCCAGATCCTCTATTAGCCATATATGCAAGTTCCCAGACAGTTAGAAACAATCTATATAATTTATTGAACAGTGTCATAAGAAAGACCCTAAATAAACACGTGGGAATATGATTGCATAGCATCCAAGCCAAGAAAGATGTTCTCATTTTATCTAATATTGCTAACATTATTGTTTCTAATATTCTATCACTTTTTTCCTGATTACTAAGCCACATGTTCTGTTGCAAAATACAACCTTTTCCTGTCAAAAGGAAGAAAAAAAAAACTTGTAAATTTGAAGGTGTTGGCATCGAACTTTATTTCTCTTGCATGTAATAAATCGTGAAGAAAACACGAGAATGACTCAAGCTCTAAAAATACGAATCTAACTAAGAGGCTGAATCTCTGGGGCCCAGCAGTGGTGAGCTCTTGTGCAAGCCCAGCTCTAAGGGCCTCTGTCCATGCCAATTAGCAGAAGATTGGAAAGCCAGGCGACCATGATGGGTTTAGTCCTGTTATCTAACTGCTGCACTGTTCAGAATTGCTGATTTCCCTGCAAAATCATGACAGATGTATTACAGGAAAATATATTGGTTGAGTAGCTAGTGAGAGAGTTAATGCAAGGGATAATAAGTAGCTAAGGCTACGTCCTCCAGCAGACTTTGATGTGGTTTGATAATATATGGGACGGGTCAATCTGCCCTATTAGCAAATGTAGCCAGCTTATGCTCTACATACAAACTAGAGATTTGATAAAGCACTAAATTAGTTTTCACAAGGTATTAGATGTTAGATACTTAATGGGATCATCATGCTTTTGCTACACTTGGTTAGGATGTGTTCTGTAACAGAAGCAGGCGGCAGCATGACATTTCACCAGGAAAGGAAGCATGTCTTGTGACTGAATCACGAGTCTGGGAATTAGAATGTCCAGGCATTGCTTGGCTTCTGAATTACTGTGTCTCTGACTTGCAGAGAGGTTTCTCTTTTCACATCTGCAGAATGGGACTGTGTTCTTGCTTTTCCTCTTTGCAAAGCCACCACTGCTTTTAAAATGTACTTTTTTTAACCTTGGGAGCAAGTAATCATAAATCTGTGAAGCCTCAGTCATATGAGACTCACCCTGTCCCACTCAGTAGGTGCTGGGAAAGTCCCTAGACTTGATGTCAGAGAATTTACAGGTTCAAGCAAATCTGGATAACAAACTTCAATAGATTGTGAAAGGAGAAGCTAAAGGGTTTGATGTACTACTGCATTCTGCATTTCCTATGTGCCAGGGGTCAACTAGTAATTTAAAATGTAACTAAAACCAGTAGTTTAGTGAAACCAATAACATTTTTATAGTCAAAAATCCATTGGCAAGGTATGTCATGTGGGTACAAATCTGCATACCTGTACCCACTCTAGCAGTAGGAAATGTGGGTGAAGAGGTCAGCCTTCCTGGGGCTGCACAGCAAATCAGTGTGAAATGGGTCCTTGGTCTGACCACTCCTTTTCTCCAAGCTGGTGTTTGGTCCACTAAATGCTGTGGACCAAATGTGTGCTAAATAAAAACCTATAATTGCTGACAGTAGTGTGTGCCCACAGCTGCCTTCTGAAAACTATGCTTTAAAACCCATTAAGTGTTTTGTGTTTCTCATACGGATCTCATTTTTTGCTAACATTATTTTACCCTCTGTTTACAGGCAATGCTCTTAAATACATTTGGAATGCATCATTTTACTTTCTCTAACATTTCACTGCATATGCAAGTAACTGATCCTGAATGACCGCTGCCAGGCTTTGCACTTTGAGTGCTAGGGAGACATTCTTGCCTTTTTATGAAATGCAGCAAGAGTGTCATGTATAAAATGATCCTGTTTGAAAGGATAGAAGCTGTATCCCAATATAGAGCACAGTGGAAAATGACTCAAAATTACATGACAGCTTCTTCCCCATTTACCTTCCTCCCCTCCCTTTCCCTTTCTCAGCCTGTTTCCCAGTTGGTCTGTGGTAAGAAGCACATCGTGTATCGTGACATTTTAGTTTACAGTTACTAATAATCCCTTTGCATCTTTCATTAGTGGGGTATTTATAGGATTGCAAAAGGGCATCGGTACCACTTGGCCTCTGAGGTGGTACTGCCACTGTCCCAAGGACTGAGATGATTTTAAAGGAGGCTGGGTGGCACCCTGGCCTTGGCAGTGGGCTTACCTAGCTCTAGCAGAAGCCTTGGGTTAAAATCCTATGTTTTAAAAGCTGCTGAAGCCAATGTGGACTTTAGATGCTTTTATAAGCAAGACTACTTTGCCTTATAACTCCTGCTAAGCCTGCACCTGATGAGCTGCTCGGGGCTGGAGGGCTGTGTTTTCCCTAATAAATTCCTTTTTTTGAGCCCACTTGTTAGTCAAGCGTTGTGCACACTAACTACAGCGAGGGCCCTGGGCATAAATTACTCTCACGTGGCACTGTCTCCGAGCAGCCCCCCAGTTATGGATTACTTTGTTCTCGACTTGACAGGAACATAATTAGAACTGTTGATGAAATCTACCAAATTGTTCCTCCGTGGCCTCAATGGTCAGGAAATTTGGCTGAGTCGTATTTGTCACCGACGTAAAGGCTCTAAACACTTCATATTAACTATGTTATTAATGTGCCCTCTAATCTGTCCGTGAATTGGTAGCACTTGGAGGGAGCTTGTGCTCTAATAGCACCTTGTGATGAATTCATTGTAATGCTGTTCAAAAGTTTCCGGAGGGTGGGGAAAAAAAAAAAAAAAAGAAACCTTAATAAAAAGTGCATATTTCTAGCTTGTTTCTTTTTTCTGTATGTGCATTTTTATGTTGTACAGTTTTGTTTTGCTTAACTGGAGATTCATTTAGGCTTTACATTGACAGACCGTTTTCTGTTCTATAGGATTTGCTGACATTTGGGCTGTTTCATTGCCAGAGGAGGCTTTGTGTGTCCCAAAGGAAGTGAGTGATCTGGCCATAACAAATCCTGCCAAAATATTTTAACACCGTTACGATTTTCTAATGCAATGCGTAGTGAATGTGACTAGAAAAGGATGGTGAGTCCATGAAGGGGGTTCTCTCCCTCTCCTCTGCCATTTGTCTGGTGGAACGAGCACGCCGCAGCTGCCGGGGGGTGGGAGACCGCAGCCAGGGCTGGGAGGGTGTTGGCCTCCTCAAGTGTGTCCCTTTGGGGGCAGCAAGGGCTCAGGCTTAATCTCTAAACCAGCCTAATTTTGGTCCTGCTCCTGAACTGACTCCAGGGTCATCAGAGACAGTGTTTTAGTGATGTTAAAAATTTTGGCCGCTGTAAGCGTTCAGTAAGTTTAAAAGGCGCTTATGGATGAGAGAGGGGTTGGTGGCTGAAGGTCCTAGAAGTTGACAGACTCCCACCTTCAAAATGAAGGGTTGTCTCATACTTCAGAAGAGTTTTGAGGAACATTAAGGTGGCTCTTAACTATATAAGCTACTCTGCTTAAAGTGCTTGAACACAAAATTAGGAGTTCTCACATGTAGTTCAGGGAATGAAGACAATTTAGGCAACCTAATGTTTAGCTTAGCACTGTGGGTATGGGAAAGCTAAAATTTATATTCCCAAGCTATTCTCTAGAGCAGCAGGTAAATTAACTGCTGTTTTTCTAATGCCTTGGTGATTTGTTTCTATTAAATTTAATACTATCCACTCCCCTCTCTCCCCTCATCTCCCAAAAAAACCCAACCCAAATATAACTAAAGTTAGTATTTGGTAAGCAATTTAAAACCTAAAACCAGTAAAGAATTTGAAATAATCTGACTGCAGGATATCAGCCATCATCTTGTGCCCAACATGCACCACTTTGGATTACTCTGGCAATTGGCTTCTGCACCAGGGTAAACTCGTGTCTTTAGCCAATTTCACATTTACGTATTTAAAAATAAACAAAGTAGCTGGCCCTGTGCACCAGCAAATTTTGCCGAAGGTAGGAAAGCTACTGAGAAATAGAAAACTTGACCTTGCCCATGGCTTTTGCCCAGATTGGCATAAGTAAAGTCAGGCCTTTTGCTGTTGGTGTTTCCCACTTGGATGTTTCTGTTTGTTTGTCTTTGAATGCCAGATAGAATTGCAAGTTCTCATCCCCATCTCCTGAGCCCTCACACAGACCTTCTATTCCCTGTGGCCACCACATATGGTATTTCCCAGGTCTCAGGGGCAATGATGCTGCCACCAACAGGAGGGAAGCGTTAGCCTGGGAGCTAGGACTTACTTTCAGACTTTATTTTAGGATCTTAATATCCGTAAATGAAATGGGAATCTTAACTCTGCATTTTTCTCATGCAAATCAATCTATTTCTAGTAATGAGCAATTTAAGTATCTTTTTTTTTAAATATTGTAGTTGCCATCTCGGGAAATCAGGATCAGAATTCAGGATGCTCAGATTAGGTGTTAGTGCATACAGATATTCTGTTGATGAATCTATTATTAGAATGAAGTAGTACTTTCCCTAGGTCTGTTTCTTTTCACTGCTTTTGTCTCTTTTTCTCTGTCAGGTCATCTTGTCTAAGTTTATTCTTCTATTCTTTAATTTCAACTCACCATTTCATTAATTTCTACCAAAGCCATGGGCTCTTTAAGGACTTTCTAAATTATTAGATCCTGATACTTATTTGCAGTGAATTTAAAAGAATTGCATTTTCTTTTGTCATAGTCTTGTTTTATCACTGTTCTAAAATGGGACATTATTTGGGGAATTCTTCCTGAAAAGCATTCTTTATGCTGTCCTGGCTGTACTTCATCTGTTTTTCTAATATGCATTTGCTACTAAAAATTTTCCATAAGTAAATGAGTATTGTATTATCCTTGAATGTCATTCATTTTCTAGGTTTGGGGTTATTTTTTGGTTGGGTGGGGGTTTTTTTTTGTTTGTTTGGGTTTTTTTGTTGTTGTTTTGGTTTGGTTTGGTTTTTGGTTTTTCGGGTTTTTTTTCGTTTCTAGTGGAAATGTCATTGTATGCATCCTGGACATACAAATCTAATTTGTCACTCAGTAGACCCAAATGCATGAGGAGCAGAGGTTAATCCTGATTTCACTTGTTTAAGAACAGGAAGTAAAACTACTTCTGTAGAAACCAAGGCACTTACTCAAGGCAGGGAGGTGAGAAATGGGAGTTTAATATCAGAATTGGGTCCTGGAATATTAATTTGGTAAAAATGTATGCTCTCATGGTGTCAGCTGTGGAGAGCATATGCTAGGAGATGCTTGTGCTCAAAATCAGGTTGCATAGTTAATCATTCTAAGAAATAGACTTCTCACTTCATAAACTCTAGGAAAGACTGTTTTCTTTTCCAAACATTTAAATTACTGAGCCATTTTATATATTAAAACCCAATTATTACTTGCATGGTATTTCAAAGAGTTTTCAAAGCTATTTCTTTTAGGAACTGTGCACAGTCTGAGGCTTTAGCACTGAGTAGTTCATCTTTTCAACTGTATCAACTGTGGGTTTTTTCCTACCAAAATATTGTTTCAAGAATGTTCATAACCAGACTAATCAGTACAAATCCCAAGCAGCCAGTTCCAGAACATGCTGCATGTCCCCTAAAACTAGCAAACTAAAATCCCAGTGTGGCCACTGAGCTCCAGAATATAGCTTAAAATACTTTATTTCTAAGATGGTGAAAACCAGGTTAAAGTCAAGGGGTTTTTTTGCCATCTCTTTGCCACATTATGCAGACTGTGTGCAAAATGCATTCAGAGAGAAACAAAAATCAAGATATGTTTCAGGATTTTAGGGAATGAGATTTACCTGCTACTGATTGGAAATACTTATTTTAAACACTACCTTCTTGTTTCTAGGGGCCAACTTAGTACTTGAGCTAGACATCAGTTTAAAAAAAAATCCCAAAGCAGCCAAAAATCCAGAATCCTTTGTCTCACTTATTTGGGGGCTGGTTTGTCAGCAGAGAAGTGTATGTGAATCAGATCATGCTAATTTGGTCAGGAGATGACCACTGTGGCTGTGTATAATGCAGTAGCTAGGAAGAGGTGTGTTATAAATATGAAGGTATAAAAAATGCACGTGACACTGGCACCATGATGAGACCACTTAGCAAAGGCACCCTAGTCCTGAGTATAGAACATTATTCCCAGACCTTTGGGAATTAGTGGGATGGTGTTTGGTAAATGTTATATTCCCAAATCAAGGCTTAGCTACCGTGGATATCAGGGAAAACAAAGTTTGTAAGATGAAGTAATCCTACTTTAAGGGCCAAATAAGAGAGAGAATAAGTTTTAAGACTTAGGAAGCTGCTTTATAAAGATTATTATGGACCAGGATCCCTGTATAGGAAGAAGCAAAGCTGTTTGCTTTAACAAAAAGAACTAAAAAAGGGACTAGGCTGTTCCTCACCCCACTCGTTCTGTATCTTAGAGCAGAGCTAAAGTTCAAATGGGAGCCTGGTGCTTCTCTTCATGAAGAGACTATGAATGAAAGGTTGCAAAGATATTAGAATTTACTAAGTCAAGTCATACTTGTCAATGACTTCTCTTGCTAGATATTTAAAGTTCAAGTGCTTGTTTGCTTTAGTTAAGTGCTCTGAAGTGCTTTTAAAAGTGTTGGCCCATTTATATAAACAAATTGAGAAACTCTATTGACAGTCTTCCCAGTCAGAGTGTGTTACCCAATATTTGAATATCCTTCCTTGAGTCCCAAAAAGATTTGCTCTAGCAACTTCTAACACACATGAGGCTTTGTTAATGGAGCCTGGTTTTGACTCCTTTAACATTGTGTTATTTTATCACAGACCTTGCCAGAAATGCGGTTTTTTGGTTGTGCACAACCATGAGGAGGAAATAGAGGGGAGTCAGTAGCTCAGAAACTTATTTATCCAAAACTTAGGTGTGACTTGAGAGGAAGAATGAGCCAGAGGCCTGATTTCCTCTTGGAACATTTGCAGTAGGGAATTACTACTTGCATCTCTCCCACACTTTTCCCCCTTCCTTCTTAGCCATGCTAACTCAGGAATCTCTTTTAGTGCTCAGAGTCAGGCAATCAAATTTAAACACATTCTCAAAGTGTGGGAAAAGCCTGTTTGCACATATATGGCCTCTCACAGAAAGAATGGAAACTGCCAACACTGTTAGTGAGATGAAGGCTGAGATGGTGTTTACACCCACAGTGATTCCTACCTGGCAGTGTTGTAGTGCTTCCTTACATTCTCATCAAAACATTGCTCTTCTGGAGTGATGTCCTTTAACCTAATGATACTGTTTGATAGTAAAAGCTAAAGAGTGTCATAAGATTGTACATTGAAATTTTGCCTTTTTCTGTGGATAAAGAAATAAGCATTATTTGGAGGGATCACTGGAGAGACCTTATCCAGTAAGATCAGGACAGTTATCTCCAGAAAAAGTAAACTGAATGCCATCAGCAACTAGCTCCCAAAATGCAATGTAGTGTGAGCAATAATGAGTGCTATCTTAAAACTAAAACTGCATCCTTCTTAAAAAACAGAACAACCAGCTTGTCCTAATAATTTTAATCTGCATGTGCAGTCTTTTTGCCTACCTCGTACTGTTGACAAGATTCAGGGGGTGTCATAAGCAGGTGAATTTAGAGCTGTTGCTAATTTAAACTGCATTTAATAAAACACAAGTTTGAGATATCTTACAAATCAGTGAATGTAGCATAGTTTGAAGATTGCTTTTGTCAAGTTTGATTAGCTCAAAGAGAAACCTTTTCTAAATATTGGTTGAGAGATTAATCAGACAATGTAAGACCTTGAATTATTCCTCATCACATGAAAACAACATAATGCATTATCTCATTGGAAGACTGAAAAAATGTAACTTTTGAGGATTTAAAATTTGTGTTTTAAAGATTCTATTCAAGGCAAAACTTTCAAGCTGTTCTTTTTTTTAAACTGACTTGTAATTTTTCTATATTATGCTTCACTTTCTACAGCGTATTCCCATATTACAAGCTGA